TCCCCCCCCTGACCTGCTGCTCACACTCTGGGGGTGCACCCAGCACACGGGGGGGTTCTGGGCTCAAGAGTACACTGAAGCCAGGTCATAGGGAGCTTCTCACCCAACACCCTCAAGTCCTTCTCCTCAGAGCTGTGATGAAATGAATCATTAGCTGATGGTCCAGGTGTATGGAAGAAACATTTCCCTCTCATGTGTGATGCAGCATCTGAGGCTGTGCAGAAAACGCATCTGTGGGTCTAGAAAACACTCTGGTTTCACCCCAGTTTTGTCTGAAGGGCTGGAGGGGCTGAGCAGCAGACACTGCAGAGGTGAGAGCTGCTTTGGGGTTCTCCTTCATGGGTACCAGGAACTGCAGAATGTCCTCAAGTCCCCAGATGCTGTTGAAACACTTGTGATGGGAGGAAGGGACTTTCAAAGCTCATCTAGCCCAACGCCCTGCAATGAGCATCTTCAACTACATCATGTTGCCCAGAACCACATCCAGCCTGGCCTGGAATGTCTCTAGGGATGCACCCCACCAGTTTCCCGTGACTTCCTGATCAGGGATAGGCTCCCTCTCCATACTGACAGATCCCATCTTGCTTCCTCCCAGCACCTCTGCCCTGCATTGACTGTCTCACTCAGGGAAAGCCCTTCAACCCCTTTCACTGTGCTCTGGAGAGCGGGGTTCATGGTCGGGTGGGTGGCACAGAGCCTCGGGAGCCCGACAGAGCTGTGGCCTGGTGGGAAGGGAGCCATGGGTCTGGGGTCCCCCATACTCACAGCACTTTCCCTGGGCACTTGGGTCCCCAGCTGCACTTGTGGTACTCAGCCTTGATGTAGCTCTCGGCTCCGTCCTGCAGCGCGCACGTCACATTGCGCTGCACCACATAGGCACAGTAGCTCCTGCAGGGAAGCACAGTGAGACCCCGTCATCCTGGCACCCATCCCAGGCACATGCTGCCAAGGTCTCACCAGGGGCCGGACTTGGAGGGCCCAGCCCACCCCACACACTGGGGACAGGGACAGCAGAGGGGTCTGGGGAGTGCAGGGAGAGGGGATGGAGCAGTGCCCCCAGTGTTAGACTGCTGCTGGGTGCCTGGGCTGGGTTACGGATTGGGTCCTGCTTCTGGTGTCCCAGCACCCAGGTCTGAGCCCCAGTGGGAGCCAGTGCTGCCCAGCCCCACCAGCCACCGTGGTGCCTCCGCCAGCAACACAGAGGAGCTTCTTCCTCAGCCCATGTGGGTCCAGGCACCTCTCCTCTAAGGGGTGCCTGTGTTGGTTAAAGGGTGCAGGTTAAGGGGTGCAGCTGTGTTGGTGCTGGAAGCAGGCTGAGCACCCTCACCTCTGGGGTGCTGCTGTGTATGGGAGGCTGGGTGCTGAGGGCAGTTGCTGCTCTCACACTCATGACCACGTTGCTACCAGTGCACAGGTCCCCCAGAGCCTCAGAGCTGGGCTGTGCTGGGCACATCATGGCCCGGGTGGCCAGACAGGCTGGGAGGACAATCAGAATCCCACCTGCAGCAGCAGTTGTGGGAACAGCATGCCAGAAACAGCTCCAGCAGCGTCTGGCAGGGGGGATCTGTCCTTCTGGAGTGCTGCCAGTGGCAGGGGGGGGCGCCCACGGCAGGGCCAGCCCAAAAGCCTTTGGACCTGGCTGTGGGTACTGTCACACTGGACCAAGTATGATGCTAGAGTGAGCAGAGGAAAAAGAGGTGCTGCCCAGCTGCTCTGCAGGGCTGCAGCATCGCAGCTCCATCCACCAGGGAGGCAGGAACAACCAAGGTTCCAAGCGGGATGGAGGCTGGAAACTTCCTCAGATCCCTTGGATGGATGCTGCATGGAGCGGAGTCTCTTCCCTCTTGCCATGGTGCCTGCAGCCACAGGGTACCGGCCAGCCCCAGGCACACTGACCTCTCCAGAGCCGAGCAGCAAACCCAGGCACTGAGGATGAGGGGCCCAGGAGGAAGGCTGCATGGGAAGGATGCAGGAGTGCTGGTGGGACAGATGGAGACCAAGGCTGCTCCAGCTGAATGCAGGGCTACTGCAGGAGCAGATGGACTTCGCCCACGGGGGCAGAGACAGCAGGGATGTGAGGTGAGGCAGGGATTAAGGACACGGGGACGTGGCAGACGGCAGAGTGGGAGAAGAGGAGGGTACGGGCACACAGAGCAGAGCTGAGGCAGGAGCAGATGGGCTGGCGCGAGGTGCTCAGTGAGGCGGGAGGACCCGGCTCTCTCCGGGGTCACTGCGGCTCAGCTGGGAAGCAGCCGGAGCTCCCTGGCACCACCATGGCATGGCCTGAGAGCAGCCTCGGGACTGACCAGAGAAAGGAGCTGCAGGCCCTCAGCCCAGCTCTCATGGGCTTGGCAGGATGATGGTGCCAGTGGCACTGAGACACCTCTGCCGGGTAAAGGCGAGGGAAGGGACCAGGACAGTCACCAGAGAGCATTGCAGCCTGGGGAGGACTGAGCTGCCTCCTGTTTGGGGAGTGAGTGTGCCCGTGTGTGTGTGCACAGGGCTGTGCACAAGTGTGTATGTGCACACACCGGGGGGAGGTGTGCGCAGCCCTCCTGCTGTCACAATCCAGGGACAGAGCAGCAGGGCTCTGGCTCATCTTGAGCGGGTAAAGATAGGTGAAGGAGGGCCAAGCAATGATGGCAAACACGTGAACACAAAGTACAGCCCCTGCCCATGCCAAGACCCAGCATAAGCCACCAAGTGCCGCCGATTAGGCTTCTCTGCCTCCAATAGCCCATGGGGCAGGAGCTCCCGCCATGAAGCAGCAAGGTGTGAGCAGGCATATCCTCCTTCCAACACCCCAGCTCTCCCTGCTCCCTTCCAGCAGGGACCCCCCGGTCCTACCCCCCCAGTGCATCCTCCTGCTCCCCCTGGAAGCAGCACCTCTATCCCAGCCCCTTGCCGTAGGCTGCCTTTGGTCCCCTGGGATGGGCACTCCTGGCATTCCCAGCCTGCCCAGACACAAGGGAGGCTGCCAGGCTCGGAGTGTGTGCAGGGATCCGTGCTGCTCCCAGCACTTCCAAAAGTGAGTCATTTATCTGAGCACTGGGCCACAGAGAGCACAGGCCATCCACTTTTCTTAGCTGGAGGGAAGGGAGATCATGTGTATGTGTGCATGTGGAAACTTAGAATCACTGTCTACCCAGAAATCCAGGATCTGCTTACAAACTGCAAACCCCTTCTGCAAGTAAGCTGGTAGCCAACATGGGCAGATCTACTGGCCACTGCTACTGAACACTGCCTGCCTGTGGCTACTTGGGGAGGGTGGTTCTGACTCACTCTCTTCCTCAGAACCCCCTTTCCCTCTCACCCACCTGAGCTGCAGTTTTATAGCTCCAGCCTGATGCTTTAGGAGTGAGCAGCTGGAAAATGTTACGGGGTTTAGAAAGCTCCTACTGGCACTGCCAGTATTGTTCGTCTTGCATGTTACTTTATTCATTTCAGCTTGTTCATAACACCACATCCTCCCCTTCCCAAAGCAGCCCCACAGAGATGGTTCTAGTAGGGGGAGCGACCCCCCCTCCAGTAACAGCCTTTTTGCAATTGAATGGAAAAAATCTATAGTGTGTGTATAAAGCCCACATTCCCCATCTGCTGAGCTTTCCAGGTTACTTGAAAACCTATTTAAACTCCACTGAGTCTGTGCTTTACAAGCAAATGAGCAAATCCCGTCCAAACTAATCCGTGTTTCCATGCGGAGGTCTGTGCATCACCACCCCCCGCGCATCTCCCTCATGCCCATGTCCTGCAGAACAGGTACAT